TCCCCTCCCTGGGTCCCATTCGGGGTCCCCACCATATGGAAGGGCAGCCTGGGCATAACTCTTTCCTTCCCCGGCGCACAGGACGGGCCTAGCACACAGCAGGTGCCGGAGCAGATGAATGCCTTGTAAGAACTACATCTTAACAGGTTAAGGACACAATTAGGACAAAACGTAGGAATAATAAAAACAGTGACAACAGCAGCAGCATCCATTGCTATTGGAAGCAGCCTATTCTTATGGATTAAGTCACCTAATCCTTATAGCAACCCTGTGAGGTAAGTACTATTATTATTTCTAAGTGACAAACAGGGAAACCGAGGCAGGATACAGAGCAGTTAGGCCTCCAGTCTCATAGCTGTAATAGGGAAAGCTAAATATGGGTGATGGCCTACACTGGATCATTTTAAGGAGATAAAACATTTGAACAGGCATTTAAGCAAATTAAAACACGCAATACAGATGTACTCTGACCAGTGGTTTTATGTACAGTCATGCGCAGCTTAATGACAGGGGTGCATTCTGAGAAATGCGTCGCTAGGCGATTTCGTGGCTGTGATTCTGTGGTCGTGCGAACATCACGGAGTGCACTTGCACAAACCTGGAGGTCTAGCCTACTGCACACCCAGGCTACTGCTCTGCAGGGAGGAAAAATAATTCTCTATCCTTCTGGGTTCTTAGCTGAGACATCCCTGTAACACAAGACAGATTAACAGGAGAAAAAAGTCTAATGACATGTGTACTTCCTGTATGTATGGAAGAGACCCAAGAAAACTGAGGAACTCCTCGAAATGGCTGAAGCCACCACCTAAAACACCAGATTACCAGGAAAAAGCACAATCACCAAGAATAAGGTTGTTATGCAGATTTAAATCCTCCTCCTCAGCACTAAAAAGTTTTCTAGCAATAAAGTGAGGCACACACCCTCACAGATGGAATTTCCCTTACAAATGTAAATGTCTTTTATAAAGGGTCATTTCTCCTCAATTTTAGGAACTGCCGGTGGACCCTTGAACACCAGGGTCAACTGAAAAGTCCTACTATGAGCATGCCTGTGCAGTTCAGATCTGTCTGTTCATGGGTTTATCGTATTTGGGGTGCTGCCCACAGCTCCTAGGCCGCAGACCTCGCCAGCATATCACTACGGTGAATACTGAAGGCCCTGTCGCACAGCGGTATCTGTGCAGTGCACTGAGCTATGCTGAGACGGCCGTGACGTCGCCAGTGTGGCAGTGCCACCCTAATCTTATGGGACCACCGTCACATATGCAGGCAGTTGTTGACTACTGTGATTTCCTGGGTATGAAGGATTTAGGTTAAAAAAGGGGGAAAAAAAAAAATTAAAGTCCAGGACAGGAAAGGGTGATGCGAGCGGCTGTTACGGGGGGTGCACCCACAAACCCTGGTGTGGGAGGGCAGAGTCTCCATTTTGGTAGGAAATCCTGGCTTCTTTAGGTACAGTGGCAGGAGCCTGCCAAAAGCGTCTCCTAGGCCTGCAGCAGCCTTGCCCTGCGTCCACCTGCCCCCCACCCCTGGTCCCTCCTTCCTCAGTTTCCTCTGGCAGCCCAGAGGGATCCCGGTAAACCGAGCCAGCCACACCGGGCCCCTCGCGGCCCCTCCACACCACGGGCATTCATCCACCTCAGGGCCTCGCCAGCCTTTCTGCAGATGGACCAAGGCTTGCTCTGGGCCCTTCGCCACATCTCTGCCCAAGTGTCACCTTCTCAATGGCTCCTTGGTCATTGTGTCTAACCAACAATCCCTCCCCAGCACTTCCTATGTCCCCAACTCTGCTTTATTTTTCTTTTCAACTTATTTTATATAACATCTCCTTGTGTTTATTACGCGTCCCTAAAAGGAGGGACTTTGTCTGGTTCGTTGCTTGGGTGGCCCCAAGGCCCTGATCTCCCTCTTCCAGGCCTTTACCTCTGCTCTTCTCCCACCTGGGGACACCTTTCCCTCTCTACTAGCAAACTCCCGCTCTTTAAGGCAGTCACATGTCACCTCTGTGAGGTCCTCCCTGACTCCCCAGGAGGTCAGTGTCTCTCTTCTTGGGGCCCCCTAACAACACCCGACCATGTGAGCAGTGACTGTCTGGGTCTAGAGACTGGATTCTCCTGAAAGGTAAGACCTGGCTGGCTACCTGTCTCTGTGTCTCCAGCAATACTGAGCCTGAGGCAGCCTCAGGAGACATTTGCTGAATGGCTACAAAAGGCAGAGGAAACATCTCTGCCACCTCTGACTTCACACTACCTACCCTCCAGAGTCTTCCGTGCCCACTGTGACTTCATGCAGTTGTCTGTGAAAGGCAATCAGGTCGTCGTTCACGGCTACCAGGTCTTTCATGTCCACTGTGACTTCCAGGATCACAAGCCCTTTTGCGCCCACCATGCCTTCTCCACCTACGAGACCCTCGAAGCCCAGCACGCCTCCGGCGTCCACTAGACCCTCGATGCCCACAGTATCTCCCAAGCCTCCTGCGTCCTTGAAGACCACTAAATCGGCAATGCCCACCAAGCCATCGATGGCCCCCGACCCGGCCGTGAGCCCGAGCAGTTCCAAGTCTACCAAATGGGCAAGTACAAAGCCAGTCCCTTCTAACCAGCCCAGCGGCAGGTCCCAAGTCCGCAGCAGGGTGAGAACACCTAGCAAGGCCAGCACTGATACCAGGGCCAGCAAAGCCAGCAAGGCTGGCGGGGTAAGACACCACCAGCGGAAGGGCGCACACAGCCGGGGTAGAACTCCCAGCAGGAGGGGAAACCAGAGCTCCAAGAGGTCACCCAGCAGGGCCAGCACTCCCAGCAGGAAGAGAACTCTGGGTGCAAAACGAGGTACTCCCAGCAGGGGGAGAACCCCTACTTCTCAGCAAAAACGGGGTCGGAGGAAGAGTTACAGCCGGCCTAGAACCAACAACCAGAAAAGGAGTGAGAGCCAGCATAGAAACATGAGCAGAGAGAAGAGTTATAGCCCACCAGGAGCCTCGGGCATGGGGAATACTTCCAGGCTGGCTGCAACCCCCAGCAGGGCAAAGAGTTACAGTCCCACCAGAACTTCCTTCAAGGAGACGGGCTGCAGCCAGTCTCCATCGCCACCGAGGAGGGTGAAGAGTTATAGTCAACTGCTTAACCCCGCCGGGGCCTGGAGTTATGACCCATTTAAAATGTCCATCAGGGTCAAGAGTTACAGTATGGGTGGTGCACTCAGCAGGACCCGAAGTCACAGCCGATCCGGCACCCCCGGCAGGACCCGAAGTCACAGCCGATCTGGCACCCCCAGCAGGACCCGAAGTCACAGCCGATCTGGCACCCCCAGCAGGACCCGAAGTCACAGCCGATCTGACACCCCCAGCAGGACCCGAAGTCACAGCTGGTCTAGAACTCCCAGAAGGGCAAGAAGTTGCAGTCGGAAGAGGACCCACAGCAGGGGGAGAAGTCACAGTTGTGAGAGAAATCGTAGCAGGGCGAGAAGTCAAACACGGAAGGAAACTGCCAGCCAGATGAGAAGACATAGCCAGTCTAGAGCCCGCAGCAAGGAGAAAAGTTATAACCAATCTAGAACCCCCAGAAGGGAAAGAAGTCACAGCCAGTCTAGAAGCCCCAGCGAGGAGAGAGATCACAGACGATCTAGAAGCCCTAGCAAGGAGAAAGGTCGCAGACAATCTAGAAGCCCCTGGAAGGACAGAGGTCACAGACGATCTAGAACTCCCAGCAAGGAGAGAGATCGCAGCCGATCTAGAAGCTCCAGAAAAGAGAGATATTGCAGCCGATCTAGAAGCTCCAGTAAGGAAAGAGAACATAGCCAATCTAGAAGCTCCGGGAAGAAAAGATATCACAGCCGATCTCGAAGCTCCAGCAAGGAAAGAGAGAACAGCCGAACTAGAACTCCCAGGAAAGAGAGCTATCACAGCAGAACAGGAACCCCCGGCAAGGAGAGAGATCACAGCCCAACTAGAACCTCCAGCAAGAGAGAGCACGGCCGATCTAGAACCCCCAGCAAGGAGAGAGATCACGGCCGAGCTAGAGCCTACAGCAAGAGAGAGCACAGTTGGTCTAGAACCTCCAGCAAGGAGAGAGAGCGTGGTCGAGCTAGAGGCTCAAGCAAGGAGAGCATCCACAGCCGATCTGGAAACTCCAGCAAGGAAAGAAATCGCAGCCACGCTAAAACCTCTAGCAGGAAAGAGCACAGCGGGTCTAGAACCCCCAGCAGGAGAGAGCACAGCAGGTCTAGAACCCCCAGCAAGGAGAGCACCCACAGCCGATCTAGAACCCCCAGCGAGGAGAGAGTTCGCAGCCAAACTAGAACCCTCAGCAAGAAAGAGCAAAGCCGGTCTAGAACCCCCAGCAAGGAGAGAGATCGCAGCCAAGCTAGAACCTCCAGCAAGAGAGAGCACAGTGGGTCTAGAACCCCAAGCAAAGAGAGCATCCACAGCCGATCTAGAACCCCCAGCGAGGAGAGAGATCGCAGCCAAGCTAGAACCTCCAGCAAAGAGAGAGATCTCAGCCGATCTAGAACCCCCAGCGAGGAGAGAGACCGCAGCCAAGCTGGAACCTCCAGCAAAGAGAGAGATCTCAGCCGATCTAGAACCCCCAGCAAGGAGAGAGATCGCAGCCAAGCTAGAACCTCCAGCAAAGAGAGAGATCGCAGCCGATCTAGAACCCCCAGCAAGGAGAGCATTCACAGCCAATCTAGAACGCCTGGCGAGGAGAGAGATGACAGCCAATCTAGAATCCCCAGAAGTCTCAGCTGGAAGCAATCCTCTAGCAGGGCACAGAGTCCCAGTCGAAACAGAACACCTAGTGAGACACGGAGCCTCTCCCCCTCAAGATTTCTCGGAGCAATCCCAGTCCCAAACCAGGATGATACTGAAGCCAACGCTACCACTTCTAAGGCCGCCTCACCTGGAGAGAGGTCCTCATCGTCTTCTTCCAAGCTGGCGTAGCCCCCAGTCTCAGCTGGCTCACGGGTCTCTGTCATGGCCAGGGGAGGGGACAGGAGACAGGAGCAGAGCAGCAGCTGGGCAGCGTCCCTCCCTGGCCAGCTCTCCACAGCCACACCTCGGCCACAAGTTCTCTAATGCAAGATGTCAGCAGGTAGAGGGATGCTGGACGGGGGAAGGAAAGGCCTGTGGTGACAATAAATTTTTACATAGCATCTGCCTCCCCAGGCTCAGCTGTGTGCTCAGTGCCGGCAGTGAGGCAAAGATGACCCCAGATCTGTCCGACTGCCTGCAGAGACTTGGCTGCAGGCCCTGCCCCTCTGTAGGCCTTAATTTCTCCATCTGGGCAACAAAGCTGTCTGTGGTTCTGATCCAGCAGGGTGGGGAAGGGTAACATTCCAAATAGCACGGGCACCAATCAGAACTGAGAGTGGAATATTGTTCTATGCCAGGCATTAATCCTTTAGTGGCTGGACTGTCGGAAAGTCTGGGGTTGGGGGAGGGTCCAAAGCGACAGTTGGGAGTATGGATTACTTGGTGTAGTGGTGAAATACCAACCAATCCAGAAGTATTTAAGTATTTAAACAACTGTAACGGCTGCACTAGCCTGTGAACATCAGCCCTAGTTCTGTATCAATTTAAACTTTGGCAAGATAGTGTCTAGATCTGCCACATTCTAGCTGTGTAGCTTCAAGCAAAGGACCTAACTTCTCTACTTGTTTCTTTCTCCATACAAAAAGGGCTTCCACAGCTTAATTCATGTACAACCTCATAAACATGTTTGTTGAGACGGCTTATCTCCTTTGTACAGACGAAGAAACTGAGGCACAGAAAGGATTAACAAGTAGCCCAAGGTCACACCAAGTGGTAGGTATGTGAACTAGAATTTAAAGCCACATCATCCTACCTTCCATACAATGAACCTTTGGCTGAAAGTACTTTTCAAAAACTCAGTAGGTTCATTCATATAAATTGCTCACGTGTGGCAGGTACTCCATCAACAGCTGCTGTTACGACTCCCACTCCCGACTCTCTGTGAAGCCCAGCCATCCCAGATTTCTCACCTCTCCCTGTGACGCCAGGACTTTTCACATCTGTGGGTCTTAGCAAATCCTGCTGTTCCTGTCTACAATGTCCATCTTTCCCCCTTGTCAGCCTGGAGAACTCCCACTGACCCTCCACACATCACCTCAAACACAAGAACTTCTGTACTATTATTTCCCAGCTCTAATACCAGTTCTGCTTCTATCAAGAAGCAGCCTCTTAACTCCTCTTTCTCTCCCTCTTCACCAATACCTCCTTACACACACACACTCCCCTTCTTTGTCTCCTTTTGCACTTCCTAACAGGGAGGGCCAGGAAGAACGAGTTAGTGAAGGTGCAGGCAGCCTCAGCTGCACCTCTTACGTGCCAAGGGCTGTGCTGGGTGCTAGGTATACAATGCTGGAAAATACATGATCCCTTTAAAACCAGGGAGTCGAGTTTAATGCTGGGGACTATAGAGAAAAAGTAAGAATGAAGTCTAACAGAGGTTGGGCCATCAGAGGGCTGGCATCAACGGTAGGGGAGCTTTTTAAAGACACCGGGATATGGGCTTTAAGGACAGAGAGAGTCATAACTGGCATAGGACAGTTCTCATAATACCCTATTGCCTGTAGGGCCCCATGTACTTCGGGAATTCTATTTTATGTCAGGATACGGTTGCCGATTTAGTAAATAAAAACAGATGACGCCCAGTTAAATCTGAATTTCAGACAAAGGATTATTTAATCTACATATATTCCATGCGATATTTGGAATGGTCATTTGTTTACCTGAAATGGAATTTAACTGGGCGTTTTCTATTTCAACTGGCAACCCTAAATCAGGGCCAGTTAGGGCCTCCTGAGATTCCAGGAGACAATGCTCACCAGTCTAGCCTACCCTTTCCCAAGCCCACATCACACAAGGCCCCTTCCAGAGTATTCCAGATGTCAGGTGAAAGCATTCCTTGGTGCACAAGTCCCATTCCTACAATGACTATGGCGGCCAAACTGGCTCCCATGATCTTAGAAGGGCATAAATGAGACTCCCTCATACCATGTTGGGGAGACCCCACAATGTCCTGAGCCTATAGCAGTCAACTCCCAAGATGCCAGGGCACAGTAAAGACCACTCCCCACAACACCCTGCGGCGATTCTTCTCAAGATGCCCCAGGTCTATAATGACCACCTTCCAAGGTGCTCAGCGTCGAAGCACTCCCAAGTTTCCAAAAGGCTCAGCAGAGGGTGTCTGACAAAAGGGACCAGCTCGCCGCAAGGAGCTAGGCTAATTCTTCCCTGAATGCTCCAGGCCTATAACGACTAGTGGACCGACTCCCATAACGTTTAGTGCCGGACAACCCGTTTTCCCAGAATGCCCCGGGTCGGCACGGAGCCGCGTGGGGGCGGGGGGGACAGGGAGCCTCGGTCTCGCCCTCAGGCCACCACGGCCCGAGACCGCGGCCGGCCCCGCGGTGACGGGAGCCGTCACTCCCGTCATGCAGCGGGGCCATAGCGCCCGCTTCCCAGCATGCCCCGCGCGCCTGGATCCCGGACACTCACCGGCGAGGGCGGCCCCCGCTCCGGCTCGGCGGCGGCGGCGGCTGCACGCCCGGGCTCGGCGCCTGCGCTGCAAATGGGGTAGGAGGGAGCGCGAGGGGCGTGAAGAGCCTAGGGCGCTTGCGCCGCGAAATGGACCATTCCTGGCTCACGTGTGAAGAGGGGCTCCCCGAGTCGGGCCATCGACCGGGCCCGCGCAGGGGGTTCCGGGCTTTGCCCCTCGCTGTCCGGATTTACTTGGTACAGTCCGCAGCCCGACGGCGCTAAAAGCTGCAGGGCTCGCGCGTGCGTGAGTGGGGCAGGAACGCGCCTTATAGAAGATGGGATGCGCTGGGGGTGGGGGGGCGCCAGTTGGGTCCGGATCCTGGACCTGAGGCCAACTTATTTGCATAATCTTAGCGCGGGACAATGGGAGGCCTCGGGCGCTGGAGTTATTTGCATATTCCCTGGAGAGGCCGCACTCGGGAGCGCAGTGATTAGCATATGTGGGGCGGGGGGCGCGCCTGAGCAAAGCGCTTGCGCACAGGGACTGCGGACTAGCGCGAAGTGGGCAGCCTTGGTTTAGTCGGGATCAGTTTGTGGCCGGAGACCGGGCGCAAGGGCCGGGACCCTTACCAATCTTCGCAACCTCCCACGCCCAACCAGGAGATATATTTAGTGCTCTCTTATGTGTCAGGCCCCGTGTTAACAAGGCAGTATAGTTTCCGCAGTGAACAAGACATACACGGCTCCTAGACTCCTAGACTCATGGCGCCCCAAATCAAAGGAAGGAGATCCACACGGATCAGAGCTACAACCCGGAGCGGTTAGACTTGAGATGAGTGGAGCGTGGGAAACTGTGGAGACCAGAGGAAGAGCCTGCCCTAGCCTGAAAAGGCTTCCAGGAGGTGATGATCTTTAAGCCAAGGATGAATAGAAGCCAACTGAAATGGGAGTCTTTCTGGCAGAGGGAACAGTAAGGGCAAAGGGCCTAGAGGCAAGTACCATGATTTAATTGAGGAAGCGAAAGCAGATAGTATTCCTAGAACCCAGAATTGGGGAAGGGGTCCTATCCGGGTGATGTTAAGAGCTCAGACTTTATGCTGAGGGTATAGGCAGCATCATATCTCATATCTCATATCGTGCTCATCATATCTTGGCACAGATGTCAACCTGAGAGGCTTTCTCCGTTCTAAGATAGCACATCCAAATTTGCTTTAGAGAAGTGAGTGGAGTTGTGGATAAAGCAGGATTGGCCATGAGTTGATGATTACTGAAGCTGGGGTGAAGGATGCATGAAACTTCTTTGTCCTGTTCTACTTCTGTGTGTTTGAAGTTTTCTGTAATAAGTTAAAATAAAAGAGTACACCACATGCTCTTGCTCTGCATTTTATCTTAATAGCAACCTGAAATTAAGTTCTTTTTTCCTTCCTTGCTGATAGTCTGTTTTCCTCATGAAAGCTTCATGAAGGTAAACATAACGTCACCCTTTTTCACTTTAGGACTCCAGTATTTAGAACAGGATCATGTTTCTTCAGGTTAGTGCTGTCAGGAGCACCTAACATTTGCCTGTTCTATACAACATGGCATCTCTAGACCTTTGAGCAGCACTTGGCATAAAGTAAGAGGTCAATATGTTTTAAATCTAAAATTAGAATCACTCATTTAAAATTTAGATGAATGAACGAGGGGCCTGGAATGCCAAGCTAAGGAGCTCTTGACTTGATGTGCAGGTGACAGGGAGGTAGAGGTTTTGAGAAGGGCAGGGACAGGACAAGATATGAATAATTGAAAACTCCCCTGGAGGCTGATGTCCGGGGGTGGTGGGGGTAAGCCAGGGGAAGCATCCAGGCCCTGGGGAGGGTGAGGTAGCTCAGTAGCTACTGAACAGATAAGACTCTGTGACTGTTTGGCTGAAGAAGTGTCCACAAAACAACCCCAGGTTTCTTGGGAGGGTCAAAGTGCCGTTGGTGAGGTAAGCACCTTCTCCTGGCCTCTGCTGTCCACCAGCAACCGTCACACTCCTCTTCCTTCTCTCTCCCTTAGTTCAGTTCCCCTCCCAACATAGTGCAAGTCTAGGCAGAGGGACAGACACACAGTCACCCCAAACACGTGTTCTCTCCTCGGTTTAATGGTGGTTAGTGGGATTGCCAAACCCCTCCCTGTTCCCCTCCCGCCCCGTACAAAATGTGTTTGTTTGTTTGTTTTTTAACAAGAAAAGGGGGCAAAAGCCAGGAATGGGGGAAGGGGCACAATCTGATATTTTCATAGATTTTTGATTTTTTTTAATATATTATATATAAAACCATAGAGACCAGCGCACCCCCCTAAACTCCTTTTCCCCTCCCTGGTGGGGCCTGGAGGAGAGATGAGAAAGGCCCCCCCAGGAGTGGGTGGACAGAGAGACAAAGATGGGTAGGATAGATGTGAGGGAAGGGGAGGGAGCCCAGGAATCTGGGGAAGGAGGATTGGAAAAAGGGGCTGGAGCTGTCTCCCTCACCACCCCCATCAAAGTTATGACACAGACACAGAATCCCTGTTTCCACACCCTCCCCGCCCCCCGCCCCCGCCCTTACCCCCACCGTGCAAACATGGCTTTGCAAAGAGGTGCCCAGAGCTCTGTGGAACTCCTACAATGGCTGGCATGGGGTCTGGGACCCCCAAAGACATCTGTGTTCCCCTTCCCTGCCCACCCCACCCTTCCCAGAATCTGATTCCCTCCCCACAAGACCTGGTTCTGCAGTCTAGGGGCCCTGGCCTTCCCCCGGTTATCTTCCCCCACCCAATCCCTACCGTCCTCCCTGGACTTGGGGGATCTGGGCCTTTGGCCCCTGCCCCCTGGGGGACCCAGACCTCTGGGACCTTGCTTCTGACCCTTGCAGAGACCCAGGCATCTGACACCCCCATCCCTGCCCAAACGTCTGAGGTGTTAGTGGTGGGGGGAGATGCCCACCATCCCAGACTCTGGTAAATGTCTTTGCAGCTGGCAGTGGGGTGGACCCCAGCCCAGGCCGGGGGTGGGGGTGGGGTCAGATGAAGAATTCTTCTTTCCTCTTGTGTCCATCGCTGCCATTGAGGAAGGCTTCTCTTGCTTCTCCCTGCTCATCCAAGCCACTGGCCTCGTGGGTCAGATAGGAGCCTGAGGGGGTGGCAGACCCCCCAGGGCCGAGGAGACATATTTGTAGACCCAGGAGTTGGACAGAAATGTACGGGAAGAGGGAGACAGACAAGACAGATATCAGACGAAGGAAGAGGGGGAAACGGAACACACAAGGAGAGGGAATCAAGTCCAGGGAATAACAAACCGGGCAGAGAGAGAGGTAAAGCAGAATTAGGAAGACTCCAAAAGTTCATGGAAAGATCAACCCTTATCGTTCTCTTGATGATATCCCCTTGCTCTGCTCCCAACGAATCCAGTAATTAGGAAGATAAATCGTTTGACTCAAACCCACGGCCTTAATTCATCTTCAACGTTTCACCCTTTTTAATCCTGGGCTAAAGACCTGCCTACCGGCTTTGGGAATCTTGGTCTCAGGTGCCCCAGGGTTTCGAATCCGGGCTCTAAGCCCCGCCCCTTTCCGAATCCCACAACCAACCACACCCGCGGCTGAATTCAGACACCGCCCCGACTCACCCTTCTGCCGTACGGAGCACCAGACCATGCCCACCAGCACACATATGATCAGAAACACCAGTAGCGCCAGGATGCCGCCCACAATGGCGTAGGGCACCGACGTCTGAGCCTCTACCACCGCACCGGGGTCTGCCAGAGCGACAGGACGCAGAACCGGGTCATCAGAGGACCTGCCAATCTGTTAAACCATTCTGCCCACCACATCTAAATCGCGCCCCTTAACATGCCACGCCCCTCAAATTACTGCCAAGTGGTGGACCCTTCCCATGGCATTCTTTTCCTGATGCTCCTTTTCTTTGAATAATGCGGCTTGGTACACGACCCCAGAGTCATTCTGCTAATACCCGCTCTGCCTCCTTCCTTCACCCCACCTCCCAGAGAACAAACAGTACATCTCTTTTCTTTTGACTGTTTCTTCCTCGACGGAACCTCAGGTCAAGTTCCGTCCCATCTTGTCTAAAACACAACAGGTATTTAAAATGCTGAGCTAAGGCCCAACCACTTCCAAAATTCCTGCTCCACCGTCATAAGAACTAAACACGTAACGCTTATTTTATGCTAGGGGCCGTTCCAACAGCTTTATATATTTAGCTCATATATCTTTACAACCCTATGAGATAAGTGCTATCGTTTATTTCCACTTTACAGTTGAGAAAACTAAGGCGTAAAGTTACGTGCAATAGGCTGCTGCAGAACCGGCGAATCAGAACTGATCAAATGGCCTGATCAGTCTGGCCCCAGAACTATAAGGACTCGGTGGGCTGTTGACCCCCTGGAAACACTTTGCACGGGCCCCGCCCCACCCAGGACAAAGCAGAGATCCGGGAGGTCCGGCCCCTGCCGTGAACGCGTCCCGCAAGCCCGCCGCAGCCTGCCCTCACCGTAGACCACTAGCACGTAGAGCGCCCTCGCGTGGCCGTGCTTGTTCGACGCCTCACAGGTGTAAGTGCCATTATCTGCTGATACTAGGCCTGGCAGCGTAAGTGTCTCACCGACCGCCTCGGCCCGCTCTGGCAAAGACTCATTCCCGCGGTTCCAACGAATCTGATTTGGCCTGAATGGGGGTAAAGTATAGTGAGAGTCAGGGACGCAGATGTCAGCACCCAATTCTGACCTCAGGAATCTAGATATGCAGCATCTTCAAATAAGAGTGTCCCTGCTGGCCCTTTCCTTTGGAGATTCCTCGGCCCCAGAGCTTACCTGGGGTTCCCCGTCACAGCACACGTCAGAACCAGAGTGTCTCCCTCCCTCACCACAGCTTGGGAGGCATGGATCCGGGCCGTGGGTGAGTCTGTGGGCAGAGATGAGGTGGGAGAGTGGCCGTCAGGGTCATCATGCGTGTCTAGGAACCTTCCCGGGGGCGAGCGGCTGGCGTTGGGAGCCCCCCAACCCCGCCGGCTTCCTGCCCGCCGGGCACTTACACTGCACGTCCAGCACGTACTGAGTCTGCTTGCTGTGTCCGGAGGGCAGTGCCTGGTTCTGTGCTTCGCAAATGACGATACCGCCGTCGTCCTTACGGTCCACACGAAACCGCACTGTGCTCGCCACGCTCCAGACCTTGCCATTTTCCTGGCTGCTGCTCACACCTGCCACGCCCAGGCGGGGCACCTTCAGGCCTGGATTCTGGCTCCGCCCCCCCGGTGTCAGTCCCAAAGCAGGCTATTTGCCAAGCTGCGCCCCTAACCCACAGGCCTCGCCTCTTAGGTCCTCCAAACCACTCCCCGCCCCGAACCCAGTCCACGACCCCCATGTGCCTCTTCCCAAAGCTCCTCCCTTTTTAATTCCTACGTCCTCTCATCTATAAATGAATTCAATAGCTGCATATTGAGTGGCTGGTGTCTGCCAGAACTTGTGCGCACTTCTCCAAGCCGCGCCCGCATACAAACCAGCATTTCCTAAGCCCCGCCTCCTGGAACCCCGCCTCCTGGAACCCCGCCTCCCCTCAAGTCCCGCCCCTCGAGGCCCCGCCCCCACCCTACTTCCGGTAATACCTTTCAGCTCCTTGCGGTCCCGGTACCAGCGCAGGGCAGCGACTGGGCGGGACCGCGGAACCAGGCAGCTGAGCTCCACCTCGCCGCCCTCTACCGCCTGCTCCCGGACCTCCACCACGGGATTCTCTGGGGCCACTGGTGCAGGGAGAAGCGGGGAAGAGAGAGGTGAGGGGAGGCACCGATCAAAGTGACCGGTCTGTGAGATCATAGGGATCAAAGGGAACAAGGGTCCCCGGTGGCAAGGGTCAAACACAGAGGCCAGAGGTCAGGAAGTATTTGCTGGGGCTAGATGTCCAGGAGGTTAAAAACAGCCAGACTCAGGTCTCAGGATAAGGGATAAGCAGAGGAGAAAGGAGGGGAGGGGATGGGTTTCAGGAGGGGGAGGCAGTTACCCAGGACGGTGAGCGTGGCAATCTGGTGGTGGGTATCCTCTGTGTAGAGCTGGCAGAAGTAGCCCCCCTCGTCTTCCAGGCGGGCATCTGAGAGCCGGATCCGCACCCGGCGTGGGGAGAACTCCTCAAGCTGGAAACGCTCGTCCTTCAGGGCTAGAGACAGTGAATCAGAAGGAATGAACTTAGGGAATCCCAGCCGCAGGAGTCCCACCCTTCCTCCGGGAGCTTAGAATCCAGCCTTCTGCCTCTTTTCTCCAGCCATATTTATGTGTCTAAGGTGCCAACCTAGTTGTTCCTTTGGGGACGCAGAATGATTCAGGCAT